AGTGGGTTCATTTGTTTGTTAAACTTCCTCCTCTTGATGGTCTCCTATGTGGTCATCTTGCGCTCCCTAAGGACCTACAGCCTGGAGGGGAGGCAGAAAGCCCTGTCCACCTGTGTGTCTCACATCACTGTGGTCGTCTTGTTCTTTGTGCCCTGCATATTTGTGTATCTGCGCCCAGTAACCACACTGCCCATTGATAAAGCTGTGGCTGTGTTTTACACTATGGTGGCCCCTATGTTAAATCCCTTAATCTATACCCTCAGAAACGCTGATGTAAAAAATGCTATGAGGAAACTGTGGAGGAGAATTGTACTTCCAATAATGATTAACCAGAATCATTGAGCATTACTGATAGAGTAATGGAGGTAATCTAGTGTGAGCCTCTTGATCTATAGATGAAGACATAGACACTGACTGGGGTTGGATCACACTTGGAGACAGCCATTTAAGCACAGAGCTAAAGCTTGGACTGGAATCCAGACTGTCTCCCATCCCAACTCTTGTCATCATAATTTACTGCTTCTTAATAAATAAATATTTATTACCTGGAAATCTGAAATATCTTTAGAAGCTACAAGTTATGAATCTAGAATGTTGGACTGGTATTAAAATAATGTTATTATGTAACATTGAGATGTTGGTCATACTGGGAGGCCAATCTTTTGGAGAAGGAGTAGTTGTTGCCCATTGGATGGTGAAGTTCAGTTGGTTGCTTTGGGCCAGAGCTGGTTCATGGTAGCTGAGCAGAGATTGGCATGCAAGAAAGGGACCAGCAAGCTGGGAGCTTCCCCCTGGGGTGCTGGTGGGCTGAAGCTCGTGAACAAGGAACTGTGGCCTGGACTGGTGAGCAGGGAACAACCCTCTAGAGTTCAGGTGGACCAAGGCTCTTGTCATTTACTGGCCACTGGTAGGTTCTGGTATAGTAGGGCTGTGAGCTCTTAGCAACCCAAGTACACAGCAGCAGGGGACATGGGTGCACCGGCCTGGTGAAGGGGACTGGAGCTGGACATAGCAGAGCCCACCAAATTCTGTATCCTAATTGGCACCGTTAGAGTTTAGGCCTCCATCCCCTCACACCCAATTACAGTAATCTCCTAACAGCTCTCCTGCTATCAGTCTTGTCCTCTTCAATCCATTTCCCATACTGTAACTAGAGTTATCATTTCCAGAATGGCTGTGCCAATTGACCTTTCTACCAACAGTACACAAGGATTTCCTTTTCTTCACATCTTCACCAACACTTGTTATCATTTATCTTTGCAATAATTACTGTCATTAGAAATGTGAGGTGATGTCTCATTGTGGTTTTGACTTGCATTTCCTTGATGATTAGTGATCTTGAACACTTTTTCATATACCTGGTGGCCATTGTATATCTTGTTTTAAGAAATGTCTATTCAGGTCCTTTGCCCATTTTTTAATCAGGTTATTAAGTTATATAATTTCCTTGCATATTTTGAGTATTAACCTCTATCAGATACATGGTTTGTAAATATTTTCTCACATCATTGGTTTTCTCTTCACTCTGATAGTTTTGTGTTTTTTTTGCTGTGCAGAAAAATTTTAATATGATGCAGTGCCGCTTGTCCATTTTTGTTTTTAATGTCATACCTAAAAAAAAATCATCGCCCAGACCAATGTCAAGAAGCTTTTTTCCTGTTTTCTTCAAGGAGTTTCAGGGCTTCAGGGCTTCTGTTGAAGCCTTGAATCCATTTTGAGTTGATTTTTATATGTGGTTTGAGATAAGGGTGCAATTTTATTCTTCTTGCTCGAGATGACTTTGGGTATTCACATTTTTTTGTTATTCCATATGAATTTTTATGCAAAAGCTGTTTTCATTTTTCTCAGAGGGTTATTAAAGTAGCCAGGAGCCTTAGAGGGCTACAGATTACAGTTATTTCTGGCACTTATGAGCTGATGAGTATGAAATACTAGGCAGCATTAAAAATGTGGGGAGATATAAAAAACATAAGAGGAGACTTCCAGTTGTTTGACCTCCTTGTCTCTTGGAATTAATTATTAGCTGTTTTCCTTTGAGTCTTTCTAGGAGGCATGTTGTGGTAAATTATTGTGGTTTTAATTTTGACTTCCCTGATGCTAATGATGTTGAGCATTTTGTTTCCTGTATTTTTTTTTTAAAGATTTTATTGGGGAATCGGGGGAGGGGAACAGACAAATTGCTGTCCTTTTGTTCTTCAGTCTAGTTGTGGAGGATGTTGCTTCACTGGCCTGTGTTGGTATTATCTTTGTGCTCTTCACAGGTGAGGCAGATCAGTCGCTGGTCACTGGACGGCCGCTCATGGCGGCTCTTGGCAGCTCATGGTGGTGCCAACCATTCATGGTAGCTTATGGGAGCCCACTGCAGCCCCACTGCAGCCTACGCCGTTGCCGGCAACTCATGGCAGCCCAGCTCCAGGTCGAGCTGTTGTTCACCATCTTGTGTCACTGGCCCTCGTGTGGGATCCAAACTGGGGCCCTGCTGCTCAGAGCTGGCGTCCCAAGCCAACTCTTAACCAACGTGCCACTTGGCCGGCCCTGTTTCCCATATTTTTGTTGACCATTTGTATATCTTCTTATGTGGTATTTCTGTTCATGTCCTTTACACATTTTAAAAGATGTTTTTAAACATTTTTTATCTATCATCTATCTATCGATCTATCTATCTGTCATCTATCATTCTTTGTTTGGCTTTGATATCAGGGTAATAATGGCTTCATAGAATGAGTTAGAAAGTATTCCATTCTCTTCTTTTTTTTTTAAAGAGTTTTAGAAAGATTGATATTAATTCTTATTTAAATGTCTAGTAGAATTAACCAGTAAAATCCATCTGGTCCTGGACCTTTTCTTGTTGGAAGATATTTTTTATTACTTATTTAATCTCTGCACTTGTTATAGGTCTGGTCACATATTCTATTTTTTCATGTTGACTTGATAGTTTATATGTTTCTAGAAATTGTTTTATTTCATCTAGGTTATCTATCTGTTGGCATAAAATTGTTCATACTATTCTCTTATTTTTAAAAAATTTCTGTAAAGTTGCCAGTAATGTTCTCACTTTCGTTCCTGATTTTAGTAATTTGAGTCTTCTCCCTTATTTCTTTGTTACTTTTCCTAAAGAGTTTTCAATTTTGTCAACCTTTTCAAAGAACCAAGCTTTTGGTTTGGTTGATCCTCTCTATTTATTTCTACTCTCTATTTCATTTTATCTATTATAATAGTTATTTCTTCCTTCTGCTTGCTTTTAGTTTAATATTCTCTTCCTTTCTTATTCATTTAGGTGACTTCTTTTTCTTTTACAATGTAGACATTTACAGATATAAATTTCCCTCTGAGCCCTGTTTTCATTGCAGTCCCTTAGTTTTGGTATGTTGTATTTTTTTAAAAATTAAAATAACTTTTTCAATTATAATTGAAATTCAGTATTATATTAGTTTCAGGTGTATATTGTAGAGGTTACACATTTATACAACTTATGAAGTGATCCCCCCATAAGTCTAGTACTCACTGGATGCCATACAAAGTTATTACAATGTCAATGACTGTATTTCCTATGCTGTACTTTACATCCCCGTTACTGTTTTGTAACTACAAATTGTACTTAATCCCTTCCCCCTTTTCACCCATACCCCCACCTGCCCCATCTTGAGACCATCAGTTTGTTTTCTGTATCTATGAGTTTGTTACTGTTTTGTTTATTTTGTTTTCTGATTCCACATAAAAGTGGAATTACATGGTATTTGTCTTTCTATGTTTAACTCATTTCACTTAGCATAGTGCCCTGTAGGTCCATCCATGTCGTCACAAATGGTAAGATGCCATTCTTCTTCTTTTTTTTTTTTTTAGATTTTTTTTTTAATTGGGGAATTCGGGAGATGGGAACAGTGCTGGGGAATTGGGGGAAGGGGAACAGACAAGTTGCTGTCGTTTTGTTCTTCAGTCTAGTTGTGGAGGACGTTGCTTCACTGGCCCAAGTTGGCACCATCATTGCGCTCTTCCCCGGGCGAGGCAGATCAGTCGCCGGCTTCTGGATGGCCGCTCACTGCGGCTGCTGGCAGCTCACGCTGGCTGCTGGCTACACACGGTAGCTTATGGCAACCCACTGCCACAGGGGCTGCAGCCTATGCTGTCGCTCCAGGTTGAGCTGTTATTCAGCATCTTAGCTGTAGAGGGCAGTGTCACTGGCCCTCATATGTGGGATCCGAACCGGGCCCTCTGGCGTCCCAAGTCAGTTCTTAACCATCGCACCACTTGGCCGGCCCGCCATTTTTCTTTATGGCCGAGTAATATTCCTTGTATGGGTTCAATTCTTTTAGATTTCTTGAACCATATTTTGTGACCGAAGGTGTAGCCTGTGCTGAAGCATTTTTCCTGTTCACTTCAGAAGAACATGTATTCCAGTGTGTTTGGGTTCTACATATTCCTGTTAGGTCTAGTGAATTTATAGTGGTGTTTAAATCCTCTGTTCCCTTATTGATCTTATTTCTAATTGTTCTATACATTATTGAAAATGGGATATTGAGATCTATGACTTTTACAGTAAAACTGTCTATTCCCCTCTCATTTTGTCAATGTTTGCATATGTGTTATAACGGGATCTCCTCTTTGTGGGTTGATGTTATCATTAGAATGTCTTGGTTTTCCTCTTGTAACCATTTTTGTCCTAAGGTCTTTTTTTGTCTGATAATAATGTAGCTCCCCCATCTTCCTCATTTCTGTTTGCATGTAGTCTCTTCAATCATATAGGAAACAAAAGTTACAAACCGGAAATACCAACGTCAGCTGTGATGCGCATCAGGAGTATTGCCTGAGCCAGAAGCATGTACCCCAGGGTACAGCCACGGTCGGCTTCAGCACTGGAGGCCTGCAGAGCAAGCAGCTCCAGGGAGAGAGGGTGACATATTAGTTGTTCCGTGATGGGAAAGAATTCACGGAGAATGTCTGAGATGGTCGATTTCTTTAGTTACTGGAAAACCGATTTTCATAGTTGTAATGGAAAGGTTGAGATTCTGGTTTTTTCTTGTTGTTGTTGCTGTTGTTAGTACAAATATCGCTGTTGTTTATTAAATTTTTTTTTACTGTGGGTCAATTATTTAATTCTCAAAACAATGACCTGTGTTATTAGTCCCATTTTGCAGATGAGGAAAACTGAGGCTGAGAAAGTTTAACTTATTTTACGGTAAGAAAACATTCACGGTGCAACTTATATTAGAGAGTGGGTCTGTGTTTATCCAGTGTCTGTGTGCTTTAAGCTGTCTCTGTTGACTTTGGTGAATCATTTATAATGGGCTCTTCAGTTTTTTGAGGTGTTTGAACTTTTCTGCTTAAGTGATTTCCAGCTAATG